GTAAAAAAATAAGACGCAAACATAATGCATGCTCTTATATCTCTTAGACATGTGAGGTCAGACTGAGGCTCACACTAAAGATCATCTGAGATGGAGAAAAAAACAGAACCTTCATGCAGCTCTTTGATTTATTATAGCAACTAAAAGTGTAAAGTTTATTATTTTAGATACGAAAAATGTAAACTTTAAAAAGAAAACTATTTTTAATATACGACCACAGTAATGTCTCCACTTTTACAGGTAAATATATGCAGTACAATTCACCTGAAAACCAAGAAGAGCTTTAAGAGAAATAGAAATGGAAAAAAGGAAAATCTCCAATGGATCAGAATATAAGCATCCAGAACCTTTTGTTTTATTTTGGTTCTGTTACGGTTAGTTTTTTATTTATCCTTCTGTCAAAAGTACAAAGCATTTGAAAATTTCATAAAAGCATCTACTTCTACATGTGAAGAAATTCAGTCCCACACCATGATGCTGCCCCCACTATGTTTCCCTGGTTATGGTTGTCCTTTCTTTGATGATGGGGCTCTTAGCAGACTAACATTTGCTTTAGTCCTTCAGTGTCACAGTCAGCCCCCTACCAAGGCACAATAGGACCTTTTCCTTATCTAATTCTGGAAAAAATATCAATGTGCTGGTTGATATTTCTGTTCCAAACTGTTAGAACACACATTTTTTGAATTTAGAATAGAATAATTCCATTATTGTTCTCTTTGTCTCTGTGTTGTCCTGCGATAGACTGCCGACCTGTCCAGGGTGGACCCCGCCTCTCACCCACTGACAGCAGGAGATAGGCACCAGCACCCCTCACGACCCCAACTGGGATAAAGCGTGATGGAATATGGATGGATGGATTAACATAAAAAAGTTACTTTGATTATGTGACAATTAATCTATGGTTGTTTTTTCATTGGAATAAATCTGAAGTTTTGAGTACTTTTAGAAGAAATGTAAACTAAATGGTTCTAACATACACTTCACATATATTAATACTGTTTTCTACTTTTTTTTTTATTTTTGGTTGAATTGTATAGGATATTTGTGATATAAAAGGGGGAAATTATTTTTAGTTGACAATATTTTCTTTTGAGATCCACTTCACACTGATGATAAACTGGCTATTATGACATAATAACCAAACTAAAATGATTGTTTGTACAGGATTCAAATTTCAGCATCAAATAAGCATTATTTGTATTCAGTGAAAAAACATAACGCAAAGTGTTGTTACCTTTGGAAAGTATTTAGACAATCCCATGTAGGCCAGTTCAAGGGTCAGAAATGGAGCAAATATCGACTGGAAGAAAGAAATCAAGGAGCAGTGTCACTTCAGCTACCAACATACAACAACAGTGGTTGATTGTACTTTTCTGAGTATCTTTAGAAATCATGAGACTGGTCAGAAAAGTGTTATGTTTACAGCAAATTCACCCACCAGATACTTGCAGACAAAAACCCTGACAAAAACAGCGAGGAGGATGCTGCCGACCAGCCTGAAAACCCGAAACGGATCAAACTCCTCTATGTCAGAACCTCCCTCCTGAGCGGGCTTCTCACTGGCCAGCTGACTCCGGAGTTTCATAGCATCGTCCAAGCGAGATAAATACTGCTGGAAGCCTCTGCGTGGAGAGCCGCTGACCTCGTCTGATCCAGCCCGCTCACCCTTCGCTCTCTGTCGAAGACCTGCTAAGTCACCCTCCAGAGAGGCTCTACGAGGCTCACTGAAGTCTGGCAGAGGGGAGCCCCTCCTCTCTGGGGTGGCAGTGTGGGACCTGGTGGCGCCTGGAGCCTCTGACAGGAAGGGAGACGGTCTCTGGGAGGCTGAAGACAGGGACCATGGCTCTGTTCTGTCCAGGTCCAGGTGGAAGCGGGGCTCTGTGGGACGCCGGGAGGCTCCTGCAGAGGAAAATCACAGATCACTGTGTGGCCTAATCAAAGTAACCATTTAACAACCCTTTCTCGTCAAAGTTACCATTTTTGATAAGTTGGATATAAATGCAACTTTGCAGCTAACAAGGTAAAATTGTGGGGTTGAATGTGGTCTGCGGGGTCCACCTCTGTCTGAAAGCTGAGTGAAACTGCTTCATAAGAATAAAACCAGGCATCTAATGTCACTACTGTTGGCAATACTGTAATTTAAGTAAAGAAAAAGCTAAAGGTTAATCTAAAAACCTAATCAGCAAAGCAAAACAAATACATTTAATAAGGTAAAAATGTCATTAAAAAAATTAATAAACAAAGTCCCTGTATCGGCATTCATTTTCTGAAGGTTCTTTAGTGCCAAAAAATGTGGATGTAATGTTTGGGTTTCCAAAGAGCCCCTGATCCAAGAAAAGGCCACACTTCCTATTCTGTATCCACTTTTTGTTCTTATAATAGTAATTCATGGAGCATATTGTTTTTTTTATTTTTTTT